AATTTATTCTTGACATTTGAGTCAATTTCTAGGATTTAAGACTCCTGATCTTTCGTCAAAAATTTCATAATTCCGCTCAAAACGATCCCAGAACAATGAATTTGCGAGACGAACAGGCCGCCATGAATCAGGTAAAACAATATGTTACATGCAATTTGATTGGTCCAATCGCTTGTAGTTAACCAATCGCTGGGCCGTTTATAATCGAGCTAAGACTTCCGCAACAAATAATGCCTTCAGTGATCTGATTAGTTGAAGCTTTCATACACGTCCAATCGCAGGGCTGTTTACAAACGGAAAACGGAGAGACTGTTCGGGAGAGCTCGTGAAAACTCGACGATAAGGTATCTGACCGCCCCTAAATTTTTCTCAACGGATTTAGACGATTCACAAAAATGATCAATTTAAGAAATAAAACGGCGGATTTCCGCGGATCCGCGGAAAATTGCCATGTATGTTGCCATTCATTCTGAGATTGCACAATGGTTCAAGCAGCCAATCAGAGCCTAAGCGAGAGAGAGAGAGAGAGAGAGAGAGAGAGAGAGAGAGAGAGAGAGAGAGAGAGAGAGAGAGAGAGAGAGTGTGTGTGTGTGTGTGTGTGTGTGTGTGTGTGTGTGTGTGTGTGTGTGTCTCATGATTTAATGCTGCCAATTCAATTCATTGTGCAATTGCTTCTGGTGTGCCCACTTTGGCCCTCAGAAGAAAATATAACATGGTCATGTTGAAAAAGTAGAATAGAGTCAGTCTAAAACAATCACTGAAAACGTTCAATGGCTGAAAAGTCATTGCTCATCATACCACCCACAGCCAGGGTTTCATGAAATCAAATGCACATACAGTATATAACAACCTTCCCCAACATACTGAAAACACAAGCAGAGACAAAAGCAATATTTTAATGCCTTTTTTTCTTATTTTTCATGGTCTACTTCTGCCTAATGTACTGATTCGCTAGCCAACAACCAACCTATGAGAGTGATCAATTGTCACCGATGGCATTTCGCATACTGCCACTCCATGACTCAGTCTGTCACATTATCTCTTAACTCTTCATAATTTTAAATGTTGCTTTTTACTTGGATTTGTTCTTGCTTGTATTATTATGTTGGGCAAGGTCGGCGTATTTTTAATTTCATGAAACCATGACTGTGGATGATATAATAAACAATAACTTCTTGGCCATGTTGAGCTAATCTGAGACTACACGAATGTAGTCAGATTTTGAGCCGACAGACAAGCCAAAGACACACAAATCTCGTTGCCAATTTTGAGTGCTCTTGACACGTCGTAGCCCGTGTAGTGTCCCAGACGACGACATGACATTCTCGCATGTCAGAATTTTTGTTCATCTTGCCGTACAGTTTGACATGTACTTAGTTCTTGTATCGGAAGGCAGTGTCCTCATACTTATGACGAGAGACTGGATGTGGTGCGCACAAAAAAAAAAAACAAACAAAATGGCCCCAAAATGAACAGACAGTAATTGAGCTGCTCTCTGGTGGAGCTATGATGCGGAGGAAACAGTTGTGTCCCTGCCCGTTTGACGCTGAAAAATCTGTTTTGCAAATACAAATGTGGTTGCATCCTTTAGTTCATTGACACAGTAATTTTCTACTTTACGTGCTTCATAAATTCTTTACTATAAATAAAGTTTGAAGTTATTTGAGAAAAAAACTGTTAAAAAGAGTGTGGCACATTCAGTCGTACATTTATCTTGGTCATTTTCATGCCACTTGGTGGTGTAGGCTGAAACCTTGTAAATATACCCTTGAAGTCATCTAGATCTGTTTTGGAGGTGGCAGGTTTTTTTGTCCACCTATAATTAAAATTTATATTAATTTATTTCTAAGTACCTGCTTCGTGATTTTTTTTTTTTAATTGAACAATAACGTGGAGTCATGAAACAAATTTGTTACCTTAAGTTCTTTTTGGAGAATAGACAGTCCATACCCTCTCCCCACCATTCAGGAATGGGTCCATACCCCCCGCACCCCCACTTTTTTTTTTTTTTTTGCCTTTTCTAAGCAGATAACAAACCCACATGGACAGAATGCTTCCGTCGACATGACTCACAGCTGCTTGTCCAGCCTCCCCGACCTGCAACAATGGACTGAATCATGACAGAAGCACGCGAGGATTGGGCAAGGTCTGATCGGTGACGGACTTGGAGTGTGAGACACAGAACGACATTTATCTGGTAGCCTGACAACTCGACAGTCGTGAATGACAAAGGAGTTGTGTAATTTGATGAGGCCGTCGGTTGTCTGCTGAGGAGGTAAAGTAATAATCTTGATTAATGTTCACTACAAGTATCAATCACTGTTACAAAAAAATTGCTCGAGTTGGTGCATGTTGCTCAGTAGTATTGATTTATATTCAGTAAGAGTAGTTGGTCAGTCTAAATGTGTGGAAGTAGAGCATCCAAGTGCCTCTTGGTATAACTCTCACGGCAGTAAGGCAGAACTAATTATCTACAGCACAGAATTATGTTAATCAATTCATCAATCATTGCCATGGCCAAAGGGGTGGCAGAGTCGCCGGTGGTGGGCGAGGCCACCACTTAACTCTGCCCCTGCAAGATGACACTCTAAAGCAAGGGGTGTCAAACTCACTTTTCACATTGTGGGCCACATACGGCCTCGGTAGATGTCAAGTGGGCCGGACCATTAAAATTATACCATACTCTGCTATCAATAACCAAAATATCATGTCTTTCCTTTGTTTTGGTATAAAGAAGCATAAGAACATCCGGAAAATGTTGAAATTTAACGGACATATCTTCTACAAAACATTTGACAAAATGACTTGCCTCTCTGTTTCAATTGGCTGTCTGCTGATAGGTCCGAAATCCTGTCTGCTAGAGTATTCCTCGTCAGGCTAATATTGGCAAAAGCTTGTCGCATCTCGAGACATACAAGTTCAGCCGCCTTCATCATGCATCGTTTAACAAAGTCACCGTTGGAATACGGCTTTGATGCTAATGCTATTTCGCTAGCAATTAGGGAGCTGGCTTTTACTGCTATGTTGGGTTTGTCTCAGTAACAGACTGAGACTGCTGTTGTCTTCTCCTCTGATCAAAACAATGTTGTCTTCTACTCTGATCAAAACAATGTGCCCCCTAGCGGATAATCAATAAACTGCAGCATATTGTTTTCTGTTGAGAGGGAAGAAATTTCATCTGTGCTGTATTTGACAATAAAGTTGTATCCAATCCAATCCAGTCCAAATTAAAAATATTCATTCCGTGTCTTTTATGCATTTTTTCACTTTTAAATTATCCCGTGGGCCTGATCAAACCTCCTCGGGACCCAGTTCCGGCCCGCGGGCCGTATGTTTGACACCACTGCTCTAAACAATGTTGTTTGTGAGTTTCAACTGCGTGATCTCTGTTGAAACACCTCCAGTGTACGAGTGGCGTGTCACTGATTGCGGTGCTGTACCTTGTTTGAGCATCTTAATAGCCACTCGCTTGTTCTCAGTGGTCCACAGAGCCTCCCACACTTCTCCAAAGTGCCCTTCGCCCAACTTGCGATGCAGCTTGAACTCCTCGCGAGGCCTCTCCCAAGGTTCCATGTCGTAAATCTCCCGCTGCAGAGCACAAGCATGTGAGTACACGCCACAAGACGCACGGGTATGGGTGATGTGTGTCATCAGTGTTACACGCGGCAGGTTCCATGCTGGTTCTTCTCTGAGGAACTCTCAAGGACATGCTTGAGTGACCTCAGCCTCTCCGCTGACGAGGATAAGCAAGAAGAAAAAACATTTGTTTGTTTGCCACTGGTGAAGAAGACAAGCCAGCCGACTTTTCGTGATCATCTTTTATTGTTAGTGTGCCACAAACATGATCGACAGTGAAAGCGTTTGACATTTGATAAGTCAACGCAATGTAAAAGTTAAAAAAAAAACATAAAACAGTTGTATAGGAATGACAAAGGACTGAAATGTCACTTCTTAAATAACATTTGTCAACCATAAAAAGAAAACAAACACATTTATAGAGAACAATGTCACACTGTGTCTGCTTGTTAACATAAACAAGCACACCTCATTGAAATGCTTGAGAATTGAAATATTTAAGTGTTTTTTAATCCCGTACAATTATTGTTAATACTTTACAATATTGTACATATGTTGTATATAATTAATGCTGTGATATTGCAAAGATTACAGCGGACGGAACCAAAAGAATCATGAGAGAATCAGTTTTGAAATCATGAGACTCATTTCTTCAAGAATAAAGTTGAAATATAAGAATAAAATTGTTTTTTCCCCAGAAAAAGTTTTATTTTGAGGGAATTTTTTTTTCTAATTTTAGTGTTGATGGGGAAAAAGTTGGACTATATTGATAATAAATTATTATAGTTAGTTTTTTTTAATGAAAAAAATTTGTAGTTCTACAAAAATCACGTTTCGTTTTAGAAAAAAGCGCAACACAAAAACACATTGTACAAGAGTATAGTTGTATTTTTTTGTCTGTTTTTTTTTGGGGGGAAAGGATGTATGTAGCTTCCCAAAAAACTTGAAATGTGATGAGAAAAGATGTACTTTTAACCTCCCCCCAAAAAATCCTTAAAGATCAGCATGTTGAAAAAAAAAATGTTTTTTTTCTAAAGAAAAAATCATAACCATAGCAGTTTAAAGCTGTATTTTTTTCTTTAAAAAATTGGTAAAAATTGAAAAAAAAAAAAGCCATCAGTGATGAGTTCCAAGTGAGCAACATGGTCAGCTGCTAACAGCTCATCAGCATATATGGTACTATGATTATGAATACATTGTGTATTAATATTCGCCTGCATGAAGCTTTACCTGCTGAGCACAAGGTTCCGCCAGCAGCACGCCCAAACTGCGAGGGTTCTTCTGATAGTACGAGACCAGCTCGCCCAGCGTCCCGAAAGAGATCTTGTCGGACACAAAATAGGCGCCGATGGAGGAGCGCTGCACACGGAAGTGGAACACCTTCCCATCGCTCCGAGCTGGAAGAGCGAAACAAGGATGAAATTTAATACACATGTCCATATAAGAGGAAAAGTGTTTTCAATATCCATCACAATATATCAAACCACAGAGGGAGCATGTACAATTCCTTGGTTGCACCGAAAAACTGTTTTGGATATGAAGATACTGTATATGCGCTTCCCCAACGCTGAACAGGGCAGATCATGGGGGATAAAAAAAAGGTATTGGGGGTGGGGGGGGGTGAAAATAAAGGAATATTTATTTGTTTTCAAGTCTGGATATTTTGAGGGGAAATTTTTTTTTTAATTACAACAACAACAAAATTCTATGAAACTGTTCGCCTTGAAAAAATAAACATTTAAAGCTATGAGAATTATGTAATACAGGGTCACCAACTGAAACGCAGAGTAACTTCTTGGCTACTGATTATTACAAAAGGCTACCAGTTAGAGATACACTTCGGAAATAACACATTTCTTAAATTGCCCTTCACGGGGAAGTCAATCCAAACATTTTCTTAATTTGTTCTATGCACCTCCACTAGTCTAAACACAGCATTATGATTAATATTGTACCTGTGGAATGTGATTTAAGCAGCAAAATCTACCTGTTTTTACCCATCTCAGAGGGCGGCCATTTTGCCACTTTCTGTCAACTGAAAATTACATCACAGTGGCTTCGGGCTCAGGTAACAACCAATCATTTTCTTAAGATGAGTAGGTAAGCTGTTTAAGAACAGGCACCACGTTGAGAGCTATCTTTCTATTTACCAATATAGATAGATCAACACACACACACACACACACACACACACACACACACACACACACACACACATCTCAACTGCTTTATTCTCATGAGGGTCACAGGTGTGCTAGAGCTTATCCCAGCTGTCTTCGGGCAGTAGGCAGGGGACACCCTGAACTGGTTGCCAGCCAATCGCAGGGCACACATAGACAAAAAACATTCACACCCACAGTTACACCTAGGGACAATTAGAGTGATTAATTACCCTACCACGTATGCGTTTTGGAATGTGGGAGGAAACTGCAGTACCCGAAGAAAACCCGCCGAAGGCACGGGAAGAACATTCAAACCACACAGGAAGATTGAATCGAACCCATGACCACCGACAAAAAGTCAATACTGGGAGTTGATGGTGATGTCAGCAGTTTTCTAACTAAAATCTTTATTTTCTAAAGACAAAAAAAAAAAGGATAAAATTGCAAAGAAAATAAATCTAAATCTAAAGCGTTGAAGGCAACATGTTATAATATATTACAATGTAGTTGTGATATTTCACGAAAAAAAAATCACAATTTTACTAGTATTATGTGAGTGGTGCATGAGGGAAAAAAGATACAAAACCATTTAAAAAAAGTAAATTTCATCATATTTCAAGAAGAATTTTTTAAATTTTACAAGGGAGAAATTTGGATCTTTTCAAACACAAAAAAAAGCATGTTTTCTTGAGAAAAAAGGTGACAGTTTACAAAGAAAATACGTCAGAATCGAGAAAAGTCATCATATGACAAGAATGAAAATTTATTTTTTGGTTTTAATCCTGCCTTTCACCAAAAAAAAGTGCACAAACTGTCAAACACACACACATACACACACACACACACACACACACACACACACACACACACACCTGAGATGGTGTACTCATCACTGTGACTTTCACTGATGCGTACCAGGAAGCAGCCATCTTTGTTTTGGGGGGCCAGCAGCAGCTTCTCGGCTTTGGTGCGGTTGATGTTGCCGTAGTACCACCTGCACACACACCATACACCCCCACTTTAGAGCCAACTACGGACCTCACCACCATGAACCACCTGCAAAAATGACATTTCTTCACACGATTGGTCCCTCTTCACTCATTGCTCTCCTCGAATCCTCAACGGTGGGAGGAGCTAATATGTGGAGCAAGGAGGTTGCACATAAAGAAATGAGATTTAGCAAAACATACAAACAGAAGAATGTAAACACTAAACTGGTCGGCACAGTTCAACATGGTGGCTGTGGGATCATTTGCTTCTAGCTGAGAATCAGGGGTGTGTGTGTGTGTGTGTGTGTGTGTGTGTGTGTGTGTGTGTGTGTGTGTGTGTGTGTGTGTGTGTGTGTGTGTGTGTGTGTGTGTGTGTGTGCGCGTGTGTGCGCGTGTGTGCGCGTGTGTGCGCGTGTGTGCGCGTGTGTGCAACGATTTGTGTGGGCGTAACGCTCAGAGTACATCGAAACTAATGAGCGATTCTTTTAAAAATGTCATTCTTATGGGGATTTTTTTTGTCCTGATTCTTTGTGCCAAAGCAAGTGTTTGATGTCTATGTGTACTTCTGACACAAAAACTCCACGAACAATGAAACACATGTGGAATACCGTTTCACCAAAATGCGCCATCATGCACGAGAACATCAAAAGTTGCTTTCTGATTTTGATTTTGGTTTCTGGTTTTTCTGTGACACATTTTTCAAAGAACCAGGAGCCCAAATGCAGTTCTTTTTACACCAGTGCAACACTTAACCCTGAGAGGGATTATTTACAGTGTATTCACATTATTTTCTATGCATATTTTTCCAGAATAAGAGAGGTTGACCAGCATCTTGAACAGATTGTCAGATGAAATGAATAAAGAACGTAAAATGGAATCTAAACATTTTTAACGTTAGTGGGGATCAGTGCAGGAGCTGTAGTAATGGATCAGTTTTCTCTGAGCGTTAAACCGGTTCAGCTCGACACCTAAAATAAGAGCAAGGTCAGCGTCAACAAAGTAGCAGTATTACAAAAGTCACGTTACTTTTGAGCCCCCGTTAGTAACAACGGAAATGTAAATATTCTGTTCTCGGCCTGGGCGAAACAGCCCAAGTACATAAACTTGATTTCTGTGATTTTAGACAACAATATATTGGTTATCTAAATTCAGATGATAAATAAAAGCTATTTGTCCTAATCTGTTGCAGGGTCAAATAGTCATACATGTGTAAAAATAAGATAACCACAAGAAAAGACATTACTAGTGTTAAAATTGACAAGGCGTGCAGTAATGTCACTTCGTGTCTATTATTCTTTTAGCGGCCTCGTTGACGCCACACCTTCGTAGAGAATAAATGTCATCGGGACAAAAGCCAAACCAAAAGCGAAACATGTTAACCCCATGAAGCTCTGTTATCTCAACTCTCATGAACAGCAGGTTTTGGGCCATTTAGGAAGTCACATTTTCCTTCAAATTGCCAATATACATGAATTTTGGCTATTCATGAGCAGGCCCTGACCAGGCCCAATCCTCTGAGAATAGCAGGGGTCAACTGTACAGTATAAACAAATTGTTTAAATAGATTGGTCCACCTTCTGATTGAATCGGTGATTGGTCATTGTTATTATTTTTCTTTTAATTTACTGATCAGTGATGGCTCCAAAATCCTGATTGTGTAAAGTCTAATATATACAGCTCTGGGGGGGAAAAAATACGGGACCAAAAAAAAAAAAAAAAAAATCAGGTCCTTTCTGGTATTATGACAAATTTACATTTCCTGCACATAAATTGTCTCAATGAAAATATGTTGGGGGGGAGGGGGGGATACTGAAGTTATGTTGTCAGTAGTTAACAGAAAAAAAATAATTTTACACAGACATAGACAGCAAAATGTATATTTTTCTTCCAAAGCTGAATGCCACTTTCTAATTGCTCGTGTGTCTTATTCATGTTGGTTCTTCAACTCAATCACGATGGAGCAGGTCTGAGACAGCCTTGAAACTGACCTGAAATCAGTTCACTATCGTTGAAGTGAATCATCCATGTGGTGTTAACCGACCTGAAATTAGGCGGCGCGCACTCACTTGTGTTTGGCAAACTCGTCCTGCAGAACCGCCACATAGCTCGCAGGAATAAGTCCGGAGTCCAGTGACCCGGTCAGTTTCTTGGCCAGCACGTAGTTGCCTCGCTGCTCCAGCACCGAAAGCTTGTCGCCCTCCCGCACCGTGAGCTCGTCGTCGCTGCGGGCCTCGAAGTCGAAGAGCGCCGCGTACAGTTGGACCGGCCTCTTCTTGGGCGACGGCACGCGAATGTCGCCCGACACCGTCCGGATCTCGGCGGTTTGCGCGGCCCGGTTGGCGATCACATGGTTCGGCACGCTGGGGTAGCGGAAGTCTGGCCAGATGCGGTCCCAGAGGCGCTTCAAACACGGCATGCAGGAGCGGCAGCAGCCCTCCATGACCTCCGGATCTTACGACCGTCCTTCAACCGCTGAATGCGAGCCACCGCAGCCCAGAAGTAATCGCCCCGCGGTGCTGCTCTCCTGCGCGGCGGGGATGAAGCATTGTTCCGGGCCAGCAACGGCGGGCTCCAGATAAGCCGGACCGACCGGTTTTTTTCCCTGTTGGGCGCATGGACGCGGGCCGCCGCGAGAATGCGGAAGCGGCCGAGGAATCCCGAGGTGGCGGCTTCGCACTCGGTTCTGAACCGGCTGACACGAACCTTGCCGGGCACAAAGTTGAACGCGTGATGAAAGACGGCGTGAACGCGCCTCCTTAAAAGTATGTTTGGTTCTTTGGTGCGCGACACATGACAGGTGCGCGGGCTCGCGGTCGCCCACACTATCAACAATGAGCTACGGCACTTTTCGGTGTGACGTCACATATAATTTCGAGTGGCAAAAACTCAGATTGCATCCAACGGTGCCTTGAAAACAACGTTCTAAACACTCATGTCTCCAGTCATCTTTCCGCCCTAAAATAAACAAAAATCCCATTAATCCATTCTAGCCTCCATCCATCCATCCATCTTTGCATTTTCCAATCCGCTTTATCCTCACAAGGGTCGCGGGGCAGGCTGGAGCCTGTCCCAGCTGTCTTCGGGCAGTAGGCAGGGGACACCCTGAACCGGATGCCAGCCAGTCGCAGGGCACATAGAGATGAACAACCATCCACGCTCAACACTCACACCTAGGGACAATTTAGAGTGTCCAATCAGCCTGCCACACGTTTTTGGAATGTGGGCGGAAACCGGAGTACCCGGAGAAAACCCACGCAGGCCCGGGGAGGACAGGAGCTGGAATTGAATGGTACCGCTGCACTGTGAGGTCGACGCACTAACCACTGGACCACCGGGCCACCCCATTCTAGCCTCCCCTTACAAAAAATATGTTTTAATGTAATATTGTCCTTTATTAAAACATGAGTTATAACACAATTAGAAATAATGCAAAGGATGAAACCAGTTGGTGTCATGATTTAATGCTTCAGTTCAATTCGTTGTGCTGCTCATATACAGATATAAACAAATAAGAGTCATCTTTACTCTTATTGACCGTGTAATGTGCAATCATATAGATTGGTTCTTGGCAGAGGATAAGGAATATTGTCCTTTGTGTGTGGTGATATTGTCTCGCTACATGTTTTACTCCACTGTTTGTGCTCGAATATCCGTTCCTTAAAGGGTTATAACACCATTATTAGAAATGCTACCCGTTAGCCCGTTAAATTGTTTTTTTTTCCCATTATGCATTAGCATTAAGCTAGCAACGGCATTCTTAAGGCAACATTTTTGGATTGTTTTAAGTACTTATTATCCATCCATTTTCTAATCCGCTTATTCTCACAAGGGTCGGAGCATGCTGGAGCCTACCCCAGAACAGGCACCATGTTGAGTTATCTCTCTCTCCCTCTCTCTCTCACTCTCACTCTCTGTATTTATATATACACACGCACGCACGCACACACACACACACCCACACCCACACACACACTCTCATCCATCTGTTATCTCACCTGCTTTAGCCTCATGAGGGTCGCGGGCATGCTGGAGCCTATCCCAGCCTTCTTTGGGCAGTAGATGGGGTGCATCCCGAATTGGTTGCCAGCCAATTGCAGGGCACATTTGGACAAACAATCATTCATGCTCACAATCACACCAAGGGACAATTTAACCTGCCATGCATGTTTTTGGAAAGTGGGAGAAAACAGGAGTACCCGGTGAATGCCTACGCAGGCATGGGCAGCACACACTTTTTTCATATTACATTAGTCCCATAAAATGTGCTTGATTAAATCAGCAAAATAACCTCTTGAGAAAATTCCCGTAAATGTATCATTTAATGCAGATAATTATTCTCGTAACAGTCCCACTTTATTCTTGTGAATGACTTTTTTTCTTGTACGGTAGTATTCTTTTTTTGTGGCTCTTGTGTGGACCCAACAATCTATTAAATCCTTTGAGTGTCAACTTCTATATATTAAATTGCTTTTGTTCTAAGACACAGAAGCTGTGCTGGTTAGGACACAGTTTTTATTATCATTAGTATATTTAGCTTTGTGTTGTACATTTCAGGAGGTCCGAAGGAAAAAAAAAAACAATGTCCGCAGTGACAGCACATTAAAAAAAAGTCACCATTTGATTGTTTGACATGATATGTTCTCATTGACAAAACACAACAGAAAGTCTCATTTACATCTATGAACACAGTAGGTCCACTGTCGTATGAAATAAGAAAGACAATAAATAGAAAATGGTATCAAAGAGGGCAGCAAATGAGAGTTTGTACAAAACTTTGTTGTTTTTGTTTCCTGAGGTTGACGTGTGTCGCCTGCAGCCTTCTCGATCGCAAAATATACTAATAGACCCCCAAAGTGGGTCTCAATGGCTTTTCATTCTCTCACACCGATTGGTGTGTGTGTATATATGAGTGTGTGAGCCCCTCCAACACCCCCAAAATAAAAAATAAAAAAAACCAACAGTGATAGGAGGGCGCTTCTTGGTTTTCAATTTAAACCTAATTTCATTTCTTCACAAACTGACACTCAGCTCACTCTTGGCATCCCTAATTGATGAACAAGTAGATTATAGCAACCGTTAGCATCCATTAGCACACATGGAGAAATGTTACTCCACGCATGGAGACAGGCTAATAAACTATTCGTATGGCTTAATACTAAAAAGTATTTACAGTCTGTAATGTATACACGCACTAGATGCTAGCAAGATGTTAGCATCCGTTAGTCACATGTCGAGAAACATTAAATTATTGGCATTCCTTCAGTGGCCTATGGCTAAATGCTAATACGCAGTTAGAATCCCGAACTGATGCATAGCTGGATGCTAGCAAGCTCTTGAAGATAAGCTAAAACCAAATATATTTTTTGGCAAGAATAAATAGTTTATGTGATAAAACAGAATAACCAATCAACTTCAGAATGTTCTCATGCTTACTGAGCGCAGCCGCAGACCAGCATAAGCGATGTTCAAACTACCAACGCGTTTTGCCTACTAATTCAACACATGTGAGAAAGCCCAGTTTGTTGGAAATGGATCAGTAGGTACTGCAACAGAGTCTGGCTGTCAGCATCAAAAGGTAAAATTATGCAGATTCATTTTTGCCCATTAAACTGCCGTTGAAATATAGTCTGCAAGCTGCTGCTCCCGTCCGGGTACTCGACACTTGATGAAAAGTGCAGCTGTTCACCTCTAGCTGCTTATGTAGACTGGTGCCGTAATGCACAATTTTAATCAATGACAGCGTAATTAATAGGCATTTTAACTGAACATGATTTCAGGATGGTGTTGTGTTGATGTTGGTGGCAATAGTGACGGCAACTTGAACCAACCGACTTGAACGATGCGAGACGGCCGAGTCACGTCTGCCATTAGCTGGCTAGCTAAGTAGGTCTGTCCAGTATTTACCAACTCTGACTGTTTTTTCTTGGTAAACAAAGCTAAAAGGAAGAGCTGATACACTTCACATTCTCGCAAATTTGCACTTGTGAGAGTGAAAAGATGTAAAAATGGCAGCCCCCATAGATGAGCAAATGCAACGTTATAAACATATTTTTTAGAATACTTTACATTTAAGTAAACAGTGTCAGATAATAAAGATATACACTTTTAAAATGAAGCTAATTTTGACATCTTGGGTTTAATTCCCCTTTAAACTCCAAATCCGAACAAAGGGCATCTCTTCAGTATCCTTTGGTTAAATGCCAACAAGCAGTTAGCATCATTTAGTTACACTCAAAAATGACTTATATCTTCCGTGAGTTTTAGCTAAATGCCAGCAAGCAGTTAGCATCTCAGATTAACTCATGACGTTAATGGTAGCAAACTGTTAGAATCCTTTAAATCACACAAACTATTAGCATCCCTTCGTTTACTTTGGAGAAACATTAACAAGCAGTTAGCATTTCTCATTCAGGCATGTGCGATTGTAGCAAGCTGTGAGCATCCCTTCGTCACAAATGGCTAAATGTTAAGAAATTGTTTGGAGAAAGTAGTAGCCTATTTAAAAAAAAAAAATGAAAACATGTCTCAGGTTAACTGTTATTTCCATGTTGGTCTTCTCATTTCCCTTGTTGAGGCTAGGGGGTGTTGTTGGGGGTCGGAGAATGAAAGAAATCGGGCAATACGAGGGGAAAACGGGGCAGAAAGTTCTAGTTCTGTACATGTAAACATCACACTTCCACTGAGCGATACGAGGCCGAGCGATCTAGATTGTAATCCAGAAGTCAAAAACCACCACCACAGAATAGAAGAAAAATAACATTGATGCTAACTTGTAATATAGTCAGTAATAAGTAGCTGGCCTATGTATGTGTCCTCAGTGAGTTGGAGTCTTTCTAAAATGACACAGGTCAGAGGCTTCACACACCCTGGAATGGTTGTCAGTCAATCGCAGGGGACAAAATGAGCATTTACACTCACATTTACACCAATGGGCAATTTTGAGTCTATAATTAATCTAAAATGACTTTTAGCGAGACTTGTTGACTAGCTGTATCCTGTGTTACGAAAGTCAGCCCTGGACTGGTCGCCAGCCAATTGCAGGCCACATTTAGACAAACAACCATTTACACTCACATTTACACCTGTGGCCAATTTCGAGTATTCAATGAACCTAGCATGCACGTTTCTGGAATGTGGAAGGAAGCCGACATACCCGGAGAAAACCCACACAAGCACAGGCAGAACATGCATACAGACAATCCGGAGCAGAGATTCAAACCAAGAACCCTTCAACTGTGAGACAGACATGCTCATCACTAAATCCACTGTGCTGTCCCTTACAAAAATATATAAACACAACAAATTCAACCTTCTTGTGTTGGCATTTGTTCACAAAGTTCGTGATTGCTCGACCAGCATCGTAGCTCAGCTTAACCTTATTTTTCTATGAGTCCGACGCGGACTTATTTGACGGAATAAACTCAATAACAATAAAGATGTTTCTCTTCAAGGAATGCACATAGACGTGTGATGGATGCTGGGCAACCTTTCGGAATGCGTACTTGAGGCAAACACTGACAAATATCTTGTTTGAAAAAAACCCCCACAAAAGACAAATACATAATTTTTTTTTTTTAAATCACAAAGTTGATTTTGAAAAAATAAAGAAACAATCTGGTGTCAGGAGGCAGAATTTTAGACTAAAAATTATTTTTCGAAACAACAAATTACAACTTGGCAAAGATTGTCCTTTGCTTGGTTTTTGTTGTTTGCCTTAGTAGGTTTGAGACTAACAAACTTCTTTTTGTTCTGGTTCTATTTACTGTACTAACAAATGCTTAACACAAGGGTGGACAAACATTTGTACACAAGAGCCACATTTGATTTTGACAATGTGTCGATGGGCCAGGTCATTCGTACATGAGGTAAAAATTAAACCAGTACAGTATACTGCAATAAAAAAAATCATTTTCATTTGAGTTGTAGTTTTAATAACTAATTTAACGAGTTCCAATTATTTTATAAAATAAACGTAGATGTAGAAATTGTTAATTTTATGAATTGATGCTGTATTTCTTTATTTCCACGAAATCAATGAACCAGTTTGATAAGTGAATAAAAAAAAAACCCCGGCCAATTTTAATTAATGCAACAAATAACTATAATTAAATAATGGATCATGTGACCTCAGGCCATATTTTCCCAACACTTGGCTTAGAACCTTAAGAACCTGATTGTAGCGCAGTGACACACGAGTCATGTGACATCATCACTCCCAACTCCCCACCAGAACCCTTCTCATGCTCGCTTTCTTTTTTTTTTCCTTTTTTGCATATTGGTCAAACAAATAAAACAAGAACCTTCACAGTTCAAATCGGGAATGTTCCACAAAGACAACAAGTCACATTAACTCTCATTGCTCTGGCAAATGCTAAAGTCTCACAGTGTGAGACCGCCTAATGTCGAGGGAACATCGTGATTATCAGCTGCATTGTGTAAAAAAAATTAAAATAAAGACCAAGAGAAACAAGTGCGAACTACACCGTCTGCCCCCTTTCCACCATAAAATCAATACATCAGTCGGAAACAAGTCGCCTTTTAAAATTTCCTCTGTCCGAGCGTCAGCGTTACCTTGTTCATTTTTTGAACATGTTGTTTTTGCACCAAAAATCTATAGGGAAACACAAAGAGTCATCAATTAGCAAAGTCACGACCTTCATCTGATGATTTGTTTGCCAGTTAGCCGAGCTTACTGTATAAAGACTGCTTGATATACTCACGTGCTGTTAGAACAACATCAATGTTGGCTTCAATTAAAGAATATGATTTTATGCTACTACCACTGTTTCCTCATGACAACCTCAATCATTGTACTGAAAGTCTCGATAAAAAGATGTAAGTTAAGTAAAAAGGCCGCATATTAACATCTTGCCCCATGAAGTTGTAAACTACTTGGTAGTTCGTTTGTCTTGTTGGCAGGGAAAAAAAAATTCAATGTTAAACACAAAAGTCGCTCATTAGCAAAGTTGCCCACTTACCACTAGTTACATAAGCTTAGCATAAAACATCTTGTTTTAGCATTACGAGATGGTGCTTATCCTAATGGAGGCATTTGGAATGTTCAATGTACTTAGAGATGACACCATTAAATGCTGGTTTTAATGAAAGAATAAGATGTTATGCTAAGATTTGACCAATGATGCCATTGACTCAATAAATAGCTGTACAATGTGTTTACATGTTGGCAAATTTCAAGTTTGTTTCAAATAAAACAATAGGATTTTAAACCAAGCGGCTTTATCCTCATGACAATTCGAGGCTGCTCAGTGGCTGTTTCAGTCAACGCTAATCTCATATGTAAAATTTAAGTCATTTGTGACATCTGGTGACGCTAACTTGTTGACTATCTGTACAATGGGAGTACGAAGTCCATGTCAGACTTTTTTTTTTTTTTAAATTGTTGAGTAGAACAAAATTAAGGACAAACTTAAATTCAAGTTAGCTGTTTTTAAAGAAATTAACACAACTTTAATGTCAGCTAATGCTCCTCGCAACTAATTGAGGCTGCGCATTGACTGATCCAGACCAAGGTAATTGAACCTAGTATCTAAGATGAAATACAATAGCGACATCCAGTGATGTAGTCATCTTGTTGACTAGTTGAACAATGTAAAAAAAAGTTAATGTTGGACTTAGAGTGCCGTTTTTAAATAAAAGAATACAACTTTAAGCTAGGCTAACCTTCTCCTCGCAAGAACCCGAAGCAGCTCAGTGGTTGATCCAGAAAACAAACAGCCCTGCAGCCAATAACGTAGATGCTGCGACTTGTTGCCGAATTGGCAGAACAGTCCAAAAAAGATATGCAACACAAGAAAGCTTTTGGTGGTCCGTTGTCGTCGCCATTTGTGAGGTCTCGTGCATTATCGATGGCAGAAGCTCCGCCTCTCGTTTTAGCAGCAATGTCCCAGTGCTCTCCTCTTCCTGTGGAGGACGCTAGCGAGGACGAGCAGGAGCTTTAGGTCCATCGAGAAGAGACGGAGGAGGTCCGAAGAGACGTGACGACCACGTTAGTGTGGGAGGTAATAAAGGAGCGGTCATTACCATTTAGCACACACACACTCACACACACATCTTCATCCTCAGCATCTTCAGCTGAATATTTACAACAATGAGGCAGGAAGCGGATGATTGAGGTATTTCCTGCTCTGGTAACAGGAGTTTGAGGTGCATATGAAGTGGCGGAAAGGTTAGCAGGAAAAGTGCTTCTATGTACAAGCCAACGTGTCCAAGAGGGTGCCGGAACACGTGGAGGGTATGGGATAGCAAAGTCGCTCTTCATCGGAGGTTCGCTGATTGGGTGTGAAGCGGGATAACCTCCTCACAAGTACTCACCAAGGATTTCACACTTTTCCCCCAGTTTCTCCCGGACGTGTCCGAGAAAGGCTGAATATGAGTACGTGTATGCACTTCAGTTCTGCTGCAGGATGAGATTCTCCAGCTCATCAGCGGAGCGCAGCAGGAAAGCCGCCGACTCCCGATATCCGGCAATCAGCTGACGCACGGCCGCGATCTCCGGTTGGCTGAGTTGGGCTGAGGCCCCGCCCCCACCGCCGCCACCCCGCCCACCCAGACAGTGGTTGGCGGCGGCGGCCATGTTGGTGGATGAGAGCGACTTCATGCTGAGGTCTGTGGGGCCTGATGAGGAAGGGGAGTCAATCCATCAGTTGAAAAATCTTGACAGTGATGAGGAGAAACAAAGTACAAACACTTCTTTACGGCATTCTCACCGTTGCTCTGAGCGGCGGCACCAGTCGTCAAAGAAACCGCTCCGCCCAGCCCCAGGTATCCACGGTAACCATAGCTGAGTCCAGCGCCGTTGATGTAGACCTGTGGCTCCTGGTTAGAGAAGGCGGACGCGGCCAGCGAGTAGGCGGAGGGAACGAGTGACGCTGGCTCCCTTGGGGCGGCGCCACCACTGGAGGGTTTATCCAGTGAGATCTGCTCATCCTGGAACAACCAAACACAAAGTTAAAGTTGGCTTCATTTGCCAACAAGAAAAATAACACTGGGAAACAGTGTTATTTAATCCGAGATGGTTTTATGTGCCCTGAAATGTATTTTTGATTTAAAAAATGATTTTCCTTTTTTTTCTAGCACATCAAATTTCTGATATATTTTTATTTTTTGTTTTTATGTTTGACCTATAAAAGCCTGGCAAAGACGGATTTTACCATGCATTGTAATTTACAGTGATGACGTTTCAGAAAATGCCATGCTTGACACTTGAAAGGTGATCGTGTAATAGTGGTGACTCACGTGATAGGCATCCAGGCGCATCCTCTTGGCAGCATTGCGCGATTCGCTCTCACAGGCGGCGGCCAGGATGTTCTCCGCCATGGCGGAAGTGAGGTGAGGCGGAGTGGGCCGGGTCTGTTGGGGTAAACGATGTCGTGAGGATGGCAGCAGAAATGTTTACGAGCTGCATTCACTTGCAACACTTGCTCATGACAATCGGACACTTGAGCGCAGTAATGCAGTATTGTGGTTTTCTGTCAGTTTTAGATATAGAGCACTTGACATCTAGAAACCAGGGCAGTGGAAACAAATTAATAACATAAAATCAAGAAACACAATAATACACAGAAACAATGCAGAGTCTTGAACAAGTAAGCCAGAGGAAAACGACCCAGTCAAAAATAAAATTATTTTTTTTTCTTGTATAAAAAAAAAAAAAAATTGAAAAATGATATCCAATGATGCTCTGTGGCTCACAAAATACCAAAGGACATGTACTGTACAAAATTTTCTGCCTGTCATTCAAATCTTTATTGGAAGCATTAAAGGGACCAAAAAAGAGGTTATTACATATGTGTGTGTGTGTGTGTGTGTGTATGTGTGTGTGTGTGTGTGTATAAATATATATATATATATATATATTTTTTTTTTTTTAAATTCTGCCAAATATTGGAATCAGCCATAATCATGATGCAGTACCTCCATGCCGTTCTTTTTCATGCGTCGGCAGGATTTGAGGTAGGTGCGAATTCGCTTGCGGGCGCGCTCTTGAAATTCTGGGAATTGTCTGCTGCAGGACTCAATGATAGCCTGGATCTTCTCTTTGGGCTGCTTGGAGATGGGAACCATCCGGTCTAAGTTCTCGTCCACAAACAGACGCACAAACATCTGAGGGAGCACACCAAAGATGGCGATGTTATGAGCTCCACCCGTATCATCATGCAGGAGACTCGTAGCCGCGCCCACTCACATTGAAGGCCTTCAGCCGCTCCGGGTCGACACCCTCTGTGTCATTAATCTTGTCGCTGTCATCGTGCTCGTCATGCTCGTCGTCGTCATCGTCGGGGGCAACAGGACCTCCAAGACGGCTGGTACTCAGGTCCTCGGCGCTCGGCTCCATCTTGATGCTGTCGTAGCTGCCACCAGAACTGTACATGGGAGACTAGGCACACACACAGAAGCACACACTCAAACACATTACTAATTAGAATGTTGGGATTTTTAATGAATATGGGGATAAAAGTGATTCAGTATGGAATCATAATGTTTTGGGATTATAGGTTTTGTTATATTCGTGGATTAAATAACATAATAAAGGCCATCATAAATCGTTTGTGGGGTGGGGGGGGGGATGTCAATTGCTGGTGTTTTTGTCATGTTTGTTTGTGGTCAACAGGTGACACTGTAGCCTGCAGCTGCACATCTGTAGATCATTATGTCATTAGTTGTTTAAAAGGACTCCCGGCAGGACCACTCGGTGTCGCGTCATTGTTTGTCACTGTCATGTTTCTGTTTTTGACTTTTTTTTTTTTTTTTTTTTTGCTTCAGCCATGGTTTTTGTTTGTTACTTTGGATTATTTTTGTTTTCATGACTTTGTTAGTTCTGGATTTAGTTTTCTCTGTGTTTTAATACAATTTGTCAAGTCCACCCTGCTCCTCCTTCCTGCCTGCTTTTTGGGGTTCTCCACCACCACGCACGTTAGTTTTTTTATTTATGTATTTGTGTTTGTCATTCATGGCCAGTATACTTTACTATACAGCAGTCGTGAATGCCCATATATGAAAGAACTTATCCTGACCTACAAAAAAGTAGTCCTTTGCCATCGTCTGATGGCCTAGACCAGTGGTCCCCAACCGCCGGTCCGCGGACCGGTACCGGTCCGCAGGGCATTTGGTACCGGGCCGCACAGAAAGAACTTGCCTTATTTCCGTTTTATTTATTTCGGAATACGAAAAATGTTTTATTTTGAAAAA